AGGTCATTCATATGCAAAAGCCTCTGGGCACAGCTTGGGTGGGGCGGAGTCTCAGGGAATCAACAGGGAGGAGCAGACAGCTATGGCTGATCCTCAGCCCTGCCCTAAGAGGCCCCGGGTCTCAGTGTCCCGGTACTTGCCGCAAGCACCTGAGAAAGCCACTCTCAAGTTCCGCCTGATGCCAGACAGTCCAGTTTCTCCTTGTATGAGTCTGGGTCCCCAGAGACTCTCCTGGAACTGTAGTTCAGAGCCGTTGGGAGCTTGAGACTCCCTCCAGATGGAAAGAAACAACCGCATCCTCAGTTGCCAGCCCTTTCCACCTGCGCCTCTGTACCTCTGCACTTTACTTCCGCTCCTCCTCTGAGTCTCAGTGTACTTTTCTCTTTCCTTCTAGTTGTAGAATTTCCACTCAGCCAGCCTTCCTGTGGTTCTGGATGATGTCCGTTTTGTCTTTTGGGCCGTTTCAGCCTCACCGGGGCCGTCCCGACCTCACCGGGGCCGTTTCAGCCTCACCGGGGCCGTCCCGACCTCACCGGGGCCGTTTCAGCCTCACCGGGGCCGTCCCGACCTCACCGGGGCCGTTTCAGCCTCACCGGGGCCGTCCCGACCTCACCGGGGCCGTTTCAGCCTCACCGGGGCCGTCCCGACCTCACCGGGGCCGTTTCAGCCTCACCGGGGCCGTCCCGACCTCACCGGGGCCGTTTCAGCCTCACCGGGGCCGTCCCGACCTCACCGGGGCCGTTTCAGCCTCACCGGGGCCGTCCCGACCTCACCGGGGCCGTTTCAGCCTCACCGGGGCCGTCCCGACCTCACCGGGGCCGTTTCAGCCTCACCGGGGCCGTCCCGACCTCACCGGGGCCGATTCAACCTCACCGGGGCCATCTTGACCTCACCGGGGCCGCTTCAACCTCACCGGGGCCGCCCCGACCTCACTGGGGCCGTTTCAACCTAATGGCTTTTTTTAATACATCAATAATGAATTCTCAGAGAGAGAAACTAAACAAACAATCCCACTTACAGTTGCAACAACAAAATAATAAGATACTTAGGAATAAGCTTAACGAAGGAATGTGACAGAAGATTTTGTTGATAGACACCAAAGTTTGAATTTTATCTAATTTTCATGTGTTATAAAATATTAATTTTTTTAACCCTTAGAAAGTGCAAAAACCACTCAGCTAGTTTGTGGGCTTTATAAAAACAGGCTGGAGCCCTAGCCAGTTTGGCTCAATGGATAGAGCATTGGCCTACGGACTGAAGGGTCCCAGGTTCAATTCCTGTCAAGGGTACATACCTCGGTTGCAGGCTCCTCCCTGGCCCGGGCCCTGGTTGAGGCTTGTGCAAGAGGCAATCAATTGATGTGTTTCTCTCACATCGATATTTCTCTCTGTCTTTCCCTTTCTCTTCCACTCTCTGAAAATAGGCTGGATTTGACCTTAGGCCATAGTTTTTGCTGACTTTGTATCTAGATTAGCATTTATTTTACTTAGTACTGGATACTTGGTAGTTATTCTTATAATGTCTTAATGTGATACTGTCTTCCATTTTTAATTATTGAGAAGTTAGCTGTCAATCTAATTATCCTTTCTTTTTAGGTAATGTGGTGATAAGTTTTTCTTTCGTTGTATTTTATTTATTTTTTAATATATTTAAAAATATATATTTTATTGATTTTTTACAGAGAGGAAGGGAGAGGGATAGAGAGCTAGAAACATCAATGAGAGAGAAACATTGATCAGCTGCTTCCTGAACATCCCCGACTGGGTATGTGCCCGCAACCAAGGTACATGCCCTTGACTGGAATCGAACCTGGGACCCTTCAGTCCGCAGGCCGACGCTCCATCCACTGAGCCAAATTGGTTAGGGCTATTTTTTAATATTTTTATTGACTTTTAGAGAGAGGGGAAGGAGAGGGAGAAAGAGAAACATTGATATGAGAGCAGAACATTGATTGACTATCTCCTGCACGCCCGCTACCAGGGATTGAGCCTGAAACTTGGGCATGTGCTGTGATTAGGAATCCAACCTGCAACCTTTCAGTGCATGGGATGATGCCAAATCAGCTGAGCCACACCTGCCAGTGCTTCTTGGTTGCTTTTAAGAACTTCTTATTGTCTTTGGTGCAGGTCCCTGTGATATATCTAAATGTCGCTTTATTTTTATTTAACCTGGTCAGGATTGATTGAGGATCCAGAATCTGAAGATTCGTGTCTCATTACCTATGGAAATTTTCAGCCATTATTTTTGCTCATATCATATATCATATCATATAAAACATAGGAGGTAGGAAAATCCATTTGAAGGTTTTTTGCAGTTATAATGTAAGATATTATCTATTATATTATTTAATACGATGTGTTACTTAAAAAGAACTCCCTCCTAGTATTGAGTGCTAGACAATTTCTGTGTAGATGACCTCATAAGCTTCCTTTTAAAATTTTTAAAAATTTTATAGGCAAAAGCTTTTAATAGAACTTAGTTATGTAAAGTACTGTACACTCTAAAAGATGTAGAAAACTAGAGTTTCAAGTCTTTATTTAAAAAAGCCATTTAGCTTCATTGAAAAACCAAGTGTAGAGTACAAGACTGCAACAAGGGCTATGGCAATTCCATGGCATCTAGACCCCAAGTTTTTCATGCTGTCGGTCAGTGGATATCACACTGCTCTGCTGTGTGGACACAGGCATGTCTAGCCTAGGAGTGAGGTGGGGAGTTGCATCTGGGTTCTGTTGTCAGTTTGTTATTCTTGAACTGGAACAGGCCAAGAAATAGCTAGCATGAAGGATTAAGTTGGAATGCACCTCTCCCCTCCCATACCGGCTTCCCCAGGGCTTCACCCGGACCGCAGCCGCAGACGCCCGGGACCGCGGGGCGGGCGGCTTGTCCCTCTTCCGGGCCGCAGCTGCAGGCGCTGGTGCCCGGGACCACAGGGCGGGTGGCTTGTCCCTCTCCTGGGCCGAAGCTGCAGGCGCTGGCGCCCGGGACCACGGGGCAGATGGCTTATCCCTCTCCCAGGCTGCAGGTGCAGGTGCAGCACTGGCACCTGGGACCGTGGGGATTGTGGGGCATGCGGATTGTCCCTCTCCCGGGCTGCAGGTGTAGGCACAGCTGCTGGCACCTGGGACCATGTGGTGGGTGGCTTGTCCCTCTCTCAGGCTGCAAGCGCAGGCGTAGCCACTGGTGCCTGGGACCGCGGGGCGGGTGGCTTGTCCCTCTCCCGGGCCGCAGACTGGCTGGTCCCCATTCTTCTTTTGTGAGCTCATTTGTGCCTGGCTGGTCCCCATTCCTCTCTGTCCCTCTCCCGGGCCGCAGACTGGCTGGTCCCCATTCTTCTTTTGTGAGCTCATTTGTGCCTGGCTGGTCCCCATTCCTCTCTCGTGAGTTCATTTGTGCCTGGCTTGTCCCCATTCCTCTCTCAGGAGCTCATTTGTACCTGGCTGGTCCCCATTCCTCTCTCCCCAGTGTTGAGTGTCTGAGCCCTTATGGCGTGATGGAGTGAGGGCGTGACAACCATTTGCATATTAGCTCTTTATTATATAGGATATCAGAAGTCTGGCTCCCTGTAGAAGCCATTCATCCAGTTTTGTGCAAAAATGAGAATTTCCTTGTCACTGCTTTCCCTCCTATGAAGCTTCTGAGAAGGTATATTCATATCTGCTCCAAATGCTGCTGCTCTAACTCATAAGCTCTCTTTTATTTAAGTTATCACTTTTTTGGTTTGGTTGCTGAGAAGTATAGCATTACGTATAATACTAATATGTAGTGTCTAAGAACTTAGTACATTTATTTGTGCACATTTTATCCTGTATATAATTATACATGATAAATACACAAGTATTTTTATATTATCAATATGCATTTTACATTACTAATAGTTTGCTTGATCTTTGTTTTTTAAACTATATTCAGAACAATCCTTTGTACCTGTATGCAGTTAATGGATTAATTGGAAAGCTACTGATTGTTATTTGAATGCTTCTTTAAGTTTGCAAGATTTAGGCTAGTGCTTTAACATAGACTTCTTTCATTTTAGAGAACTCAATTTCCTGCATCTGCTGAATCTCAAAAACCCCACCTGAAAAAAGGTCTGTATACAATTTCATTGTATATTTGCAGATTTCTCTTATTATTTCTTTTTTCTATATGAATTAGAGCTTCTTAAAATATGATTGTTGACAAAAGTACTATAATTGGGTTTTTCCATAGCTAGTTTTTATTTTATGGAATTGTTAGGTATTGGAAGGTTGATTTTACCTGTAACTGTGTTTAAATGGAGTTTTATTATATAAATGTGTACTAATTTCCCACTTGTGAAAAAACCACTCTAAAATTCCCATAAATACGTATCAGGCTTCAATAATCTCATATATATGTTAAGTAAATGTGCAGGTTTACAAAAATTGAGTCTGGGAAGCCTAAATTGGTAAGGACCTATACCAGTGGTTCTCAACCTTCCTAATGTCGCGACCCTTTAATACAGTTCCTCATGTTGTGGTGACCCCCAACCATAAAATAATTTTCGTTGCTACTTCATAACTGTAATTTTGCTACTGTTATGAATTGTAATGTAAATATCTGATATGCAGGATGTATTTTCATTGTTAGAAATTGAACATAATTAAAGCATAGTGATTAATCACAAAAACAATATGTAATTATATATGTGTTTTCCAATGGTCTTAGGCGACCCCTGTGAAAGGGTCGTTCGACCCCCAAAGGGGTCGCGACCCACAGGTTGAGAACCGCTGACCTATACTGTAACGAAGTGCATTTTATAATCTGATAGGAATATGATATATATTTTATTTAGAGGAACAGGATATCTTCATTTGTTAACCTATAGCCTTAGGAGGGTTTGCATCCGGTTGTAGGTTACTATGTATATTGGATATTTTCCTATGCCTCAACTTTTTATTTCACCAGGCTGTACTTCCTTTGCAACATGTGTTTTCCTATAGTCTGCTAAGAGTTTGAAAGTTAATTTATCAATAAATTGTTTAGTTTACTTGGGGCATTTCTGTTACTCTTTGAAATTATAATTTAAATTATTGGAAAATCTGATTGCCTTTCAGGAATTTATTTTCAAAGAGTTTTCCAGGATTATATCTTTCACTGAAAGAGCAGTAATTCTATAATTTAGATTATTTGTTATTTAGATGTAATTCTGCCAATCCTATATAATAAAAGGGTACTATGCAAATTGACCCTAATGGTGGAATGACCAGAACGACCGCTGGACCAGTCACTATTAGGTGCACTGACCACCTCTTGGTCCCTTTCCCTGGCTGGAAGGCTCTGATTGCCTGATGGTGAATGGGGAACCGGGGATGGGTGGCAGGGGACGCAGGCGACGTCAGGCCAAGGCCCCTTTCCTGCCAGTCGCCCCACACACAGAGGGTGACCTGCGGCAGGGGTGGGGCCGGCGAGCAGACATGATCGGCCTACCTCTTGGTCCCTTCCCCCGGCCGTCAGGCACCCATCACCTAATGGCGAATGGGGAACTGGGTGTGGGTGGTGGCGGGGGGCAGGGCTGGGGAAGATGGCCCTGATTGCAGGCCAGGCCTAGGGACCGTACCCACGCACGAATTTCGTGCGCCGGGCCTCTAGTATTTAACGTAATTGCTAATATTTTTATACTATGAAGTAACTATTTCCTCTTGATTCTTTTTAAAAAAAATATATTGATTTTTTTTACAGAGAGGAAGGGAGAGGGATAGAGAGTTAGAAACATTGATGAGAGAGAAACATCAATCAGCTGCCTCCTGCACACCCCCCACTGGAGATGTGCCCACAACCAAGGTACATGCCCTTGACCGGAATCGAACCTGGGACCCATCAGTCCACAGACCAATGCTCCATCCACTGAGCCAAACCAGTTAGGGCTTCTCTTGATTCTTACACGTTGCTGAATTTGTGTTCCATCCTTTTCAGCGTCCTTATGACCTTTGCTCTGAATTTTTTCTCTGACAAATTGCTTGCCTCCATTTCATTTACTTCCTTTTTTGGTGATTCTTTCCTTACTTTTGTATGGGGGCTATTTCTTTGTCTCCCTACTTTTGCTCCTCTCAAAGGGATGTCTGGTTATGTGGCTCACTCTCTACTATGTTGACCAAAAGGCACAAAATACAACTTGACACGACACAGAGGGAACAAAACGTGAGTGTATTCATGACGCCGATAACCCCAATAAAAGTGAACACCAAAGAAAAGAGAATTAGGGGAGAGAACAGAGCGCAAAAATGATATTGAGAAAAGGAAAAAAAGGTAAGAGAGAAAAGAAAAAAGAAGGGAAAAAATATACATATATGGGGAGAAAGCTCCAGAAAACAAACAAATAAACAAAAAAAATGCAAACAACAAACACCCAGAAAAAAAGATGGGAACTGAATCTGAAGAGACAGAGCTTATTTCCAGAAAGTAAGGCAAAGGAATTGAAAGAATGGGGGAATGGCCACAGTTCACTATAGAGGTGATAGAAAGAGGATGAGTTGATAAGAAGATAACTAAAAAACAATAAAAAAAGTAAAAATAAAAAGACAAAAAAATTTCCCTATCTATCTATCTATCTATCTATCTATCTATCTATCTATCTATTCATCTATTTTTGGGAGAGGAGAATAGAGTAGAGAGCAAGTAGACTTGAGTTTGCTGAGTGAAACAAATTAAGCAATTAGGAGAAGAAGAGGGGAAAAACAAAAGCATTAAAAAATTGGCTAGCAAAGAAAGAGAAAAGAGAAGGGTGCATGGACTTGCATCAGGGGAGCAGAAATTAGATATATGAGTAAGCCAACAGAGATTACTATAATAATAACATGTAAATAAAGTAGATAAGATCAATTTTTAACAAGGGGTAAAAAGAAAGAGAAATACTAAAGCAGGAACAGGAGAAGAGAAACAGGATGAGAAAGGGAGAAGTGAGGAAGAAAAGGTTGGCAAAAAGGAAAAAATGAGATAAAGTAAAATAATGATTAAAAATAAAAAATAGAATGAAGAACACTAATCCAAAAAAATAAAAGGTTAAAGAAAAATAAATGAAATAAAAAAATTTTTCCTCTTTTTTCGGTTCCCACCCCACCCCAGGCCCTCGCCACCCCACTCTCCGTGTCCATAAGTACTGCATACATGCATATAAAATCTCTGTCCAATCTCTAACCGCATGCCCCCACACCTCCTTCCATCCGAGAAATGTCAGTCTGCTCCATTTCCATACCCCTGATTCTATTACATTCACCGGTTTATTCTGTTCATCAGATTTTTTAGTCATTTGATTTTTAGATTAAAAAAATGTTGATAGATATGTATTTGTTGTCACTTTGTTGTTCATAATTTTTTATCTTTACCTTCTTCTTCTTCTTCTTCTTCTTCTTCTTCTTCTTCTTCTTCTTCTTCTCCTTCTCCTCCTCCTCCTCCTCCTCCTCCTCCT